CTCGGCTTCCTGGCTCCCAGACCCGAGTTTCTGGGGCGACCATGACCAGCAAGCGCCTCGTCCCTGCTCCACAGCTCTGGACCCGGGGCCTCCCCAGGCACCTCCAGGCCCAGGGACGGGACTAACGATGGGACAGTACAGACCAGTGCAGATCAGTCTGGGACAAATGGACAGATCAGCAAGTGGATTACGGAGGGGCAGCAGGGCAAAGAAGGAAAAACACCATCAAACCCGAGGCATGCCGTCTAATCTCGTGAAGGACAGTGCAAATTGGTGAAGTCTTAGTCCAAAGATACCCAAGAAAAGCACCTGTGAATTCTTTCTCAGGTAAAGAGGAAGGACAAAGACGACAGGTAGGTAGATGAGTGGGCGTTTGTTGGGCACAGGTAAGAACTGGCCGTTACTAGCGTGTCTGTCATTTCCCTGACGGGGTGGAGTCGGAGGCCCGGGGGTCCCTGGACCTGCCACAGCCTCATCGCTTACTTTCCTCACCTGCACAACATGACCTTGGACACTGTGGCCCCCCAAACTGTCCCAGTGTCTCCCCGCCGGTGGCTTCCGCCGCAGCGGCGAAGTTCGCTCACTTGGCTGGAATGCACGTCCCTCCCCCAGGATCTCGGCTGGCAGATCGTGCGCCTCGCTCTTTTCCCGGTAGACGGCAGGAAGCTACGCTTCTGCCAGGTTCCTGCTTGCGCGGTGACTAAGTGTGCAATTCATGGGCCCCAAATGAATGGGGTTGGGCCACAGTCTAAGATATCGTGAATGGAAACCGTCCGTAAGCAATGTCATTATAAATGTTAGACTTTCGGTGGCCCCTGGGCTGTGTCCGCTGACAATAGGCTCCGCCCGCAGGGCACGGTCCACTCCACGGGGCAGGGGAGGTGGCTGCCTGCAGCCGAGCACTTGGAGGGAGGGCTGTGCCAAATGCCTGTCTGGCATCACTTATGGCTCCGCACACCAATCCAAAACATTTCTTTTTGTTTTTTTTACACTTGGAAGAAAACTTCCAGTGACTCATCTCATATGCTTTTTTGATTCATGTTTAATGTCTTTGGGAAGAAATAAAAACAGTCAGTCATTCTCAATAAAAATGGCATCAGCCAGGCTCAAAGGCCAGGCGCACGGACGGTCCCGTGCCAGCTGCCCCTTGGTGGCCTCGGCAGCTACAGCCGTCAGCTGCCATTAGAGGGTTCGTTTATCATCAGGAGTGAAGACAGCTCCTCAAAGCTGCTTTGCCATTTCAGAAAATCGCAACGCCAGAAGCCATAGATTCTGCAGGGACCATTGGCGCCTGTGCCCAAACACACGCCGGAAGGGTCGGCACACGCTAATGAGCACCTACTAAGCGATGTCACAGCGTGGAGTGCTGGAGCCACACAGAAGAACAGGGCGCCCTCGAGCACTTACAGCTTCGCGGGCAAGGCCAGGCACGAACTTCCTCTTCTGTGCAACGCTCAGGGCCAGGCACCGCGCTTGGGTGCTGGCTGGCAGAGCCAGCAGACCCAGCTGGGGCCGAGGTCCCCTCCTGACCCTTTTCCCCAGGGACCTAGAGCACAGTTTCAGTCACCCGGGGCCTGATGAGGAACCACCCCATGACCAATTCGCCCAGAGCCTGAAACTCACGTAGGGCCCGGTGACTGAAGACAGGGAGGAAGTCGGGAGGCGCGGGGAGGGAGGTGGGTCCGGCTGGCGTGGGGGCTCCTTCCAGACAGACCGCAGCTCCTGGGCAGGTCCGGCAGTTTCACGGTGGATGTGCGGCCCGCGGGGCCCTGTCCAGTGCGCCCTGGAGGGCCCGCCTTCCTCGCCACCCCTGCCAGGTCTCCGAATTTCCATCGGAGGCTTCCTGACCCAGGTCGTCTCTAACTTAAGTGGAACCGCACACGAGGATGTTCCCGCTGCCTAACTTCTAAGCTGAAAACTTGCGCACGGGGTCTGACAAGTCCGAGAACACTCAAGAGGTCAACAGGACAGAAGAGGTGGCATCTGGCCTGTCCTAGAAGTCTGGGCCCTGTGCCTGGGACCGTGCTGGACGCCTTGGGAAACAACGAGGACCGGGGTGGGCTCGACCTGTGGGGCCCGTGTGGCGGCAGACCTGGCTGGCGGCGCTGACCCAGCACCAACAAGCAGCTAGACCTCGGGGACGCCGCTCAGTCACGCCGTCATTCGTGGCGGAGCCTCCCTGCGCCCCCCCTGGGCACTGAGCAGAGCGGACGGGCGGGGAAGGCACCCCTCCCTCTGGCTCGACCTCTGTCGCCCAGGCGGGCCGCGAGGCCGGGCCGGGTCTCGCTCGGACGGGGCCCGCACAGCCTACGACGCAGAAAGAAACCTCCCCAGAGCGGAAGCTCGGGGATGCCACAGGGTCGTGACTCCCTTGCCCAGGGACGCGGCCCTGCAGACGGACAGGCTGGTCCCCGTGCCCCCACTGACTCCACAGCGGATGAGAATGCCAGGCCAAGTCGCCCGCGCCCACACTGGGTGCGTGTGTGCCCACGGCGTGTGCGCACGCACACGTCTGCCCCCACGCTGGTCAGGCAGGACCTGCCCTGTGGCTGAGCACTGACGGGAATGCCCACAGGAAATGACACTGCAGAGTCATCCCGAGTCCCTCTAAAAATAACCCTCAACTTCCAGTGCAGGAGGGGTTTCCCCTTTCCCCTGCCCTACCTCCAGCCACCACAGCTCACATCTGGCAGGCCGGGGTGGGGGTGGGGCGGCTCTGAGAGGCCACCTGGGATCCGCAGGCTGGCCAGCCCCTTGGGCCGCCCCCCCGCCCCCGGCACCCAGGGGAGGGGTTAGTTGGGGTCACGCCCCCAGCCTCTTCTCCACAGAGCCCGAGCTCCCCATGCCCGTTAACCTAACGCCTTCCAGAACTGCAGCTAAGCAAATCTCTTGGAGCAGCGATGACCTTCGAAATGTACGAGGAGGGGTCACTGCTCCGGGGACCCAGGAGACCCGTTGCCGGGTGCGGTTGTGGTTATGGGCTTCTCACCCATTTTCCTCGTCAGGTCAGCATTTCGAGGGTCTGCCCCGCAGGAGAGACCCTCCCGCGCACACCTGTCCGGCCCATCTCCACCCCCCTCACCCATCCCCCTGCGGTGACGATGATCCTCCTGCTGCTCCTTAGTTAGCATGTCGGGCGCCCTCTCTGCCCCCGGCCCTGTGCACGGGCTGCCACTCAGACGAAAACCACATCCTCGCCTCCTGCAGGCCTCTGCTCGAGGCGCTTCTCAGCGGGGCTGTCCTGGAGCTCTCGGTCCAAACTGGGGGCCCCGGCACAGCGCCGGACCCGCCTCTAGCTTTATCCTTCCCTAGCTTTCCTCTGTATTTGACTGAGTCCCTGGCCTCTTGCCGGCAGCTGCAATGCAAGGCCACGCTTTACTCTGGCTTGTTCCCCACAGAGCCTGGACGCCCCCCGGCACACAGAGCCCGATCACATGAACCACGACTGCGGGGGAGGGGAGGGAGGCTGGGATCCGCGGCTGGGCCGGCCGGTGCCTCCCATCCAGCGCCTAGACCAGGGGGCCTCCCATTCACTATCCCCTGACCGAGGACACCCACGTTCACGAGCCATCTGATTCCCAGAGCTCCTCGTCTCTTGGCAGTGGCGGTGGTGGGGGCAGGGAACAGTTACTGAGTGTTTGCTGTGTGCGCAATGAAGTCCCCAGGGGCCTCAATATAAGAAGAGACACCAAGGACCGCCTCCTGCGCCCCCTTTGAACCCCCCGCCTGCTCCAGCCTCAGGGGGCCCCACCTGGCCAGGCGCCTCCCTGTGCACCGGCACCTGCCCTGGACCCTCCAGGTAGCCGGGCTACATGGGTGCAGGTGATGCCCAGGGAATGCAGGCCCCGTTTTTTCCTGCCCATTCCCAGCTTCACTCAGCAGGGCTGGTGGAAGGAAATCAAGCCACGGCTAATCTTTGAACAACACGGGTTTGAACTGCATGAGTCCGTTTATACGTGGATTTTTTTTTCAATAAATACACAGTTGGCCCAACGTATCCCTGGGTTTTGCAGCCGCAGATTCAACCAACTGCAGATTCCACCAACTTCAAATTGAAAACTGTGTTTGATCTGCGGCTGGGGATCCATGGGTGCGGAGGGCCGACTCGGGGCGCCGTTGCTTTACAGAAGGATCTGGAGCATCTGCGGATTTTGGAATCCGTGGGGTGGGAGTTGGGTCCTGGAACCAATCCCCTACAGATACTGAGGAGCCACAGTTAGGTTCCGGGGGGTCAAGAGCTCTAAGCTGATTTTCGACTGCGTGAGGGTGGGAGCCCCCGACCCCACGTCGTTCGAGGGTCAACTGCAGTGAAAGCAGCGCCTTCCCCAGGAAGTTGAGTCTGTTTCCTTTGGGGACAAAAGCCACTGGTCTGTCGCCAGAGGCAGAGGCGGCTGCCTGGATCTCTGGTCCCCACCCAGCGAGCGTCTGCACAAAGGTGAGCAGGAGACGGGGACAAGGGGACAGGACAGGAATTGTGGCAGGAGAAACACCCCCCTCAGGAAGACCAAGGCGGGAGCCCCCCCCCACCATTGAGAAAGGAGGGCCCCACCCCGGGGAGGCGCTTCCTAGGGCCAGCAGCTCGCACCATGGCTCTGCTCCGCTGGGCGCCTCGGCGGGGGCTCCGCGGGTGGAACCGGCCGCCGTGGGCCATCCTCGTCCTCGCCCTGGCCGCCCCCACACACCAGCTGCCAGGCTGGGCTCCGGCAGCCTCTGAGGCTGAGGTGGTAACGCGACACTTCGGCCGGTCTCAGGGCCAGATCTCAGCCCCATGGCTGAGGGCTAAGAAGAGATTCCTTCCAGGTGGGAAGATGAGAAGAACAAAGAGGCACCCTTTGCTCCTGGGGCCTAGAAAACTCCAGAGCACCTAGGCGGGCTCTGCTGGGCTGGGCTGGGCTGGGCTGAGACCCCAACGGCCCCTCCCCCGAGCCCTCCCCCAAGGCTCCCTCCACCTACCCACCCCCATCCCCACCGGGCCTGTCAGGCCTCTCCGAGTGACTTACCCAAGGCCAAGTGAAGGCGGAGACCGAGCAGGGATCAGAACCTCCAGGGGCTGGTTCCACGACCTGGGCTGGGCCACTAGACCATGCCCTGGAAGAGAGGACCCACCGGTCACTCGGGCTGTGGACACCCCGGCCCAGAGCCCACTGCCTCTCCCTGCCAGCGGCTTCCACGTGCCTGTGGGCGGACCACCGTTTCCACAAGCCCTGCGCCAAGAGCAGACAGACCCTGGCTCCCGGCCTCCGGCCAGCCGTTTGGGGCAGCGACCACGGCGCATGCACCCCTGCACCAGGAGGGAGGGAAGGCTCCCACAGCAGCGACGTAAGTCCCCCAGTAAGATGCAGGCCACCCCTCGGGTGGGGCCGGAGCCAGAGTGAGGCAAGACCTGTGGCCTCTGGGGTCTGCAACCTGGGTTCAAGCGCTGGTGGCACCGCGGAGCCACTGCAGCCAGTCACGTCTCCGCCTGCGGCCTCCCCTAGGCCTCTGGCCCCCAGGGTCACGGTAAGGGCCGCCCGGCCCAGGGCCGCCAGCTCTCAGAGCGACCACCACCAAGCTCTGGCCCCTACATGCAACGAACAGTCAGAAGGTGTCACGGCCAACAGGCTCAGTGACCAGCTAGCTTCGTGACGGGTGCCAGCGTCTGTAGCCACGTGGCCACCTTCTATCGCAGCCCATCCCGTCTCACCGAGACGCGCGCCGCTCCTGCGGGGAAGCACGGGGTGGCGGGGACAGCGGGGGGCACTGGCCCCAGGCGTGACTCCGCCTCTGAGCGGCCCTGAGACGGGCACACCGCGCGGCCCCTGCGTTCAGCGTCCCATCCGTGACAAAGCAGGGGGGCTGCCCGCCCTGGAGACTGGGCCGGCTGCGATGCAGGCGTCCCCGCAGGAGGGGGGCCCATCTCTCCCGGGGCCCCGAAGGCGCAGCTCCTGGGCTGCTTGGGAGACCGTGTGGCTCTGTCGCTGAGCCACAGGGGCTCGCCGGCCACCGGCTGTCCTGCGACGGACGGAGACCGCAGTCATTGCTCCGGAGAGCGTCAAGGAGCAGGGTCACTCTGCAGGAGTAATTGTGCCGCGTTTTGTCTGCAGGAGCCCGGTTTCTGTCTAGCGACTGTGCTACAAAGGGCCATGGTTCTTCCTCCCTGGGACAGTAGACCGCGGAGGCCTGGGTGGTTCAGGCAGACCTGCCGGGCACCCCAGGAGGCTCTCAGTGACGACCTTTCCCCAGCACGTGGGACAGGAGAGGCAGGAGACAGGCCTGGGAGGGCCACACCCCCAAAGGCACCCAGCAGGCGCCCCTGCACCGGACCCTCCTCCCAGGCCCCGCTCACGCACCCTTTCTCCTGCGGCCCTTCCTGCACCCCGCCTCCCAGGCCATTGCGCACATTAGGCCGGAGCCTCTCCTAGGTTTGGGGTCTCTGGGCAGTGGCTTGGGCAGCGACCAGGTGTGACCCAGGCCCTCAGCAGGGCAGGGAGGGGGGCCGTGTGGCCGGGCAGCCTGGGCTCAAATCCCAGCTCAACCATGTCCTGGCTGCGGGACCCTGGCCCAGTATTTACCTTCCCAGCACATAAAACGGAGGTGATGGTCCTGCCCAGTGAGTTCTTGTTAAGACTAACTGTGTCCATGCACCAAAGCAGGCTTGGCATGTAGAACTCGATACGTGTCGCAATGGCTGAGAGCAGAGACAGGCCCTGAGAACCCGCTGGAAGGATCTAGGCCAGCTAGAGAGACACAGCCTACCGTAAAAGACGCAAGAAGAAAGAGACAGTCTGAAATAAAGATGTACAGTTGTCTCTGAACAATGCAGTTACTGGCGCGGAACCCCCGCCACAGTCAAAACCCTTGTATAATTTTGACTCCCCCAAAACTTAGTCACTAGTATCCTACGGATGATCAGAAGCCATACTGATTACATAAATAATCAGCTAACACATATTTTGTACATTATATGTATCATATACTGTATTCTTGCAATAAAGTGAAATAGAGGAAATCTTATGAAGGAAATCTTATGAAGGAAATCATAAGGAAAATCATATGCATTCCTTATGCATTTACATAAGGCTGGGACAGTAGCCTTAAATTTAAATAAGGCATTTACAGGGCTGTACAGTAGCAATACCGTAAGTTTACATCGTCGGTTTACAAGATCAGCAAGATTGCTGGGTACAAAATCAATAGACAAAAATCGACTGTATGTCCACACATTTGCAATGAAAATTCAAAAACGAAATTAAGAAAACAACTGCATTATGAAGAGCATCAAAAACAATAAAATACACAGGAATAAGTTTAACAAAAGAAGTGCAAAACTCACACTCTGAAAACTATAAAACATTGTTGAAAAATTTTTTTAAAGATCTAAATAATGCGGAAAATATCACACGTCCATGGATCAGAAGACTTAACCCTGCCAAGAGGGCGATGTTCCCGAACCAATCTACAGGTTCGATGCGCTCCCCTGCTTAGTCCCTTGTAGAAAAGGACAGGCTCACTCTAACATTCCCAGGGAACTGCAGGGAACCTAGACAACCCTGGAAAAGAATGGAAGGTGACCCACAGCTCTCAATTTCAAAACTTAGGACCAAGCAATAGTCATTAAGACAATATGGCGTTGGCACGGGACAGGTATGCAGATCAATGAAATAGATTTGAGAGTCAGAAATAAACCCATGTAGCTATGGTCAACTGATTTTCAACAAGTGTGACAAGTCCACCCAGGTGGAAAGAATATCTGCTCCACACATGGCGCTGGGACACCTGGACAGCCACGTGCAAAAGAATGAAGTGGAACCCGCACCTCATGCCATATGCAAAAATCCACTCAAAATGGATCGCAGGTCTAAATGTAAGAACTACAATGGCACAACTCTTAGAAGAAAACATAGGGGTAAATCTTCACAGTCTTGGATTTGGCCATGGGTTCTTAGGGAAGACACCAAAAGCCCAAATGACCAAAGAAAACAGAGATACATTGGACTTCATTACAATTTAAAGCTTGTCCTTCAAAAAACACAATCAAGGATATGAAAGCACAACCCACAAAATGGGTAAAAATGTATCTGATAAGGGACTCGTATCTAGAATGTATAAAGAACTCTTCCAATTCAACAGGAAGACAACCCAATTTAAAAATGATCAAATGACTTGAATAGAAATGTCTCCAAAGAAGATATACGAGGGGCCAATAAACACACGAAAAGACGCTCAACACTACTGGCTAGTACAGAGATGCGGATCAAAACCACAATGAGATACCACTTCACACCCGCTAAGATTTCTAGGATCAAAACGGCAGGCCAACACAAGCGCCGGCGCGGACAGGGTTGGGGGGAATCCGAGTCTCCCCACGCTGCTGCGGAGAATACGAATGGTGCGGCCACTTTGGAAAACAGTCTGGCAGTTCCTTCAATGATCAGACACACAGTTATCATACAGCCCAGAAATTCCCCTTCTAGGTGTATACACCCAAGAGAAATGAAAACGTATGTTCACAGAAAAACTTCCACACAATGTTCATAGCGTCATTGTTCATGAAAATCAAAGGGTGGAAACAAAGCCAATGTACATCAACAGAGGGAATGGAAAAGCAAGACGTGGCCTACGGATACCATGGAGAACTACTCAGCCATACGCAGAAACGAAGGTCTGGCCTGTGCCAAACACAGATGAGCCTTGGAAATACGAAGCGAAGAAGCCAAGCTCCAAAGGACAAATATTGTATGATTCCATTACATAAAGCATCCAGAAGAGGAACTCTAGAGACAAAAGGCAGATTAGTGGTTTCTTAGGGCTGGGGAATGGGGAGACCAGGAGGTGACGGTCCCAGGGCACGAGAGGTCCTATGGGGATGATGCAAATTATCTAAACTCGCCTGCAGTGATGCGTGCACATCTCTGCGAATATACTAAAAACCACTTGATTATGTTGAGCGACTTGTGTGGTATGTAAATTATATCTCAATAAAATTGTTTTAAAAAAAGGAATCTAAGACAATGCTCTTGAACTTCTCTCTCCCAGGGGCCAGGAGGGCAAAGAGCGGGCCACAGGTGGAGGGAGGCAAACCGCAGGGTCCCTCAGCGCCGCCCCCAGGGGCCTCCGGCCTCCGCACTCATCGCCCCGGCTGACCACTGGGGTCTGGCCGCCTGGAATCCAGGGTACGGCCCGGTGCCTGACGTGCTCTGGGTGCAGGGACAATCCGAGGAGCTCACAGCTCAGCAGGGCACCCTCAGGCGTGGGCTGAATGCTGGGGTGGGCAGCGGACGCGGGCACCGAGCTCTCTGCACTCACGGGGGTGGGGGCAGTCCCTCGGGGGAACCCTCGGTCCCGTCCGTAAGGAGCTTCGGATGACCTGTTGGCTCGGCGACCGGAAGGGCTGGGGCAGCCGCCCCAGGCCACGGCACTGGCCACCTAGGAGGTTCAGTTCTAGGGCCGTTGCTGGGGTCGGTTCCTCCTCTAGTAGCCCAGGCCTGGGCAGACTCAGTGCCCATTGTCCCAGCTGCCAGCCCTGGGGAGAAGCAGCTAAAAGTGCACCTTCTCCCAGAGCTGGGCACCCCGGGGGCCGCAGTGCGCGGGCAGACTCCAGTCTGCAGGAATCCGAATGCCTCTCCCGCCCGCTCCCACCAGGCCGCCTGTGCGCTCGGGAGATGACAGATCATTTTAATATCTCCTGAAATCCAGCTGAGCCAGGGAGCAAAGCCCCTGAGGGGGGAAAATAGAGTGGGGCCCAGGTCAGAGATGGATGGGGGATCATGACTACATCCAGGGACTGTGGTTCCAGGATGACTAATGCCCCTGCGGCCCCCGCGAGGGCGGCAGCGCGCAGAACACTGCCACGCAGACGTGGCGCGCGGTGCTCGCTCTCCACGGCGGCGCTTTCTTCCACTGCCCTGATCCAGGGCTGAGCGGGGGGCGCTGCATGTTCTGAGGATGTCACCAGCATGGGGTCCGGTCTGGGGACAGCCCCAGGACACACTGTGGATGCCAGGAAGGGCAGGTGAGCCCACGCCCACGCGGCCACGCCCACCCACAGGGCCTGGCTGCAAAGGATGGCCGGCGTGACAGCAACCTAAGCCCCGAGCCCCGCGTGACCA